TTACTGGGAGTCCCTTCAGTAGGTTCCTATTCACATTCCCTGTGAGCAGGAGCCTGGGTCAGGCTGTTGCAGTCCTGACTAACCAGATGCAATTTTAACTGAAAACAGATAAAAATAAGTAATTTGGATTACACGTCCAGGAAAAACATTTCCGTGAGGCACGGGTTAGAGTTGAAGCCATCAGACCAGAGTGAGCACTGGTGAGCTCTTCTGGGGCAACAATCACTCCTGTGCTGTGTCCAGAGAAAACGAGCTCCACCTCAGCACTATTTTTGCTAGAAGGGACGGCTCCGTTCACCTCAATCTCCTTCAAGGTACAACGGAGCAACAGGTCTACCCAGCATGTTCTGCCACAACCACCCACTTTCTGGGTGTTCCTCCATCTGGATGTTCCTCCTTTGCTTACAGTCACTAGAAGCATAAGCCTGAAAGGTCACCAACTTCAAAGCAACAAGATGACCAACTCTGTGGTTCACATTGTTTGAACATTTATTGCAATTCAGTGTCAAAAATGTCTTACAAAAATACATTACTGTCTGCACAGAACAGATGTAAAAATCAGAGTTGAACATGCAAGGGAAGAAGAAAAAAAAAGTGCAAATTTATAATGGAAGGATTTTAATCACACAATAATATTAAACAGAAGTCTTATATAAGGGATGCCTTTCACTTCATATCATCTCTAGTTACAACTTTAAGGAAAACAAAGCAGTACACACGCTCTCTTCCATATATAAGTAGGTATTTATAATTACTGTAGATTACTTCTTAAAGATGAGCATATTTGCTATTTCAAATTAAAATGTTCTCTTGGTAGCAGACCTGCTGGCATTCTGTGCAGCACATGATGGCTAAAACAAACAGGCAAGTTCCACCCTCAGCTGCCCTCCCAGGAGGGGAAGCAGCAATGCTTGGTCAGTGGAGTAGACTCTCCCTCATGTTCAAGGTATTAATATACTAGAGACTGTGTGTGTCAAGGACAAGATGGATTTGTCCTCCCTAGGACCAGATCCTGCAAAGCTGATTACCAGCACCCAATTTCTATCCCACGTCTTCCTCCAGTGATTTCGCTGGTAGGCAAAGACACTCACACAGCCCAGCAGCCACATGCTGACAGCTTGTGTGACAGTCTTCAGAGCCTTTAACAAGCATCATTATCAGCCATGAGCTGGAAGAAGCAGAATACCAGAGACCCAAACCTTGTAACAGCAAGTCTTTATCAATCTAATCAGCCATCAGCTCCACAGGGTGTGTATTTTTGCAAGCAGGCCAGCTAGAAAGGGTGTCATTTTAATTTAAAGCTATGTCTTTTTGGCAAAGTGCTGACCTATGGGGAAACTATGCCATGGGTTTGTAAGAACAACCGCAGAGGACAATGCTGGTTTGCTGTACTGAGCAGGAGATAAGTGTGAAACAGCACATCTGATTTATTAGCTACATAAGAGAATTTTAAATGTTCCTGCTCTAAATCACATTTTAGCTACTAAGGGCCAAGGAATTTTCTGGGCAGGGAAAGCTGGTTTAGTTGTAGAAGGTGACAGCTTAGCAAAGGTAACTGAAGTCAAACAGAAATGGGAACACAAACAGTTCAAAACCTGGGGGCAAAGAGAAATAATACAAAAGATATTCCCATATACAGAAAGTGGCAGGGTGCAAATAAATGTTTACATACAAAGCAGGATCTTCAGAGCAATACAAGTTTTCCTAAGCACTTTACAAAATAAAAGGATCTAGAAACTCCCACAATTAAAAAAAGAAACCCAAACAATACAAGAGGAGGTACACGTTTTATGATCAATCTTTACCATACCATAGTTAGTATAAAGGGCTTAAGGTATGTACAGCTGAAATTATGCCTCTTGAAGTGGCTATCACATTAAAACAAACTCCAAATGCTGCCTCTTCTAGAAAGCTGAACTGCAATTTCTGGGATCTCTCCCTTCCTAAGCCACCTCCTTCCCCTGTGTGGCTCTATTTTTCCTCTTCACAGCACCATGTTCTACACTGCTGCACTGGTTAACACATCCTCTGAAGATAATGAGATTTCTTTGGATATGCTGGCAGGAAAAAATAAAAGACAGGAAAAACCCCTCCTTCCACTAACTGGAAGGTGAAATGTCATTTGAAATGAACATTCTATTTCCAAAATACAAGTAAAAGTCTGTCTTCCCTTCACAACAGCTTTGCCACTATTGTCTTAAGATAAAGAGGTCCTTTTTGCACGAGAGCAGCCTCAAACCATCCAGCCTGGAAGCCCCTGTTGTCACTGTCAGTTCTGTTACTGCCATCCTCAGCCAAGCAGATGCCTTTGCACCGCTAAAATACTGACAGCTTTGTTTGTAAGTTGTTGGACGAAGGTATTTGGATGCAACAGCATTTCATTTTAAATACAAGAGTATTGAATTCACCACAATATCTCCCTGTACCAGCCATTCAAAAAAACAATGACTCTCCCAAAGATATCAAGGTCTCATTTGACCCTTGCTGTAGCAGAAGGGTAATGACTGAGGCAGTAACTGAATGAGGCTTATTCTGTTTCCTTTTGTTTAGTCCATTTTGTTCTCCAGTACAGTAGTTGCTTGGTTTTCTGCTGCTTTGGACACAGACAGCAATATCCCAGGACCTCAGAAGGGTTTGTACATATTAACAAATAATCTTTGCCTCTTTGACCCTTTAAGATTATATAGTGCTAATAAATAAAAACCCCACCTCTTACTGAAGTTTTATAAATATGAACCTCAGTTGCACATTATGTTGTGAGCATGACCTGTGGTCTCTGGGCAAAGGACAGAGTAAACTCTGCTCCAGCCCAGTGGCTGATAGGGCCAATGGGTAATGTTCAGATATTCCCAAATCACAGGTAAATGCTGAGATTTTTGCCTGCAGTGCAGGGAACGCACTAGGCTGAATTTGAACCTGAGCTTGAAATTCACCCAGTGTCACAATCTCACAGTGGATAAGTGTCACCTGCTAAGCACGGACTCAGACTAGGCAGAGCAGAGCCCCCCAGCATTTCATACTGAAGTAGCATTGCCTTCCAATCAGCCAGAGTGAGGTTGGCTCACTATGGGTGGCAAGACAATGGAACCCCAGGTCAGAGCTGGAAACAGGTCCTCTCAGTTCTAGAAAAACGAGCTACAACAATCTCCAAATACAGTGGCAATGCTTCACTCACTTCACTTGCTTGTTTCTGTCCTTAATGTCCTCATTCACAAAGCCAGATTTCAGCCTCATCTACCCACTGCCATCAATATGGGAATGAAAACAAACTGACCTCCTTCACTCAAACATCCCCCCAAACAAGCACAAGTTCATTTTTCCAAGGTAACAGCTTTTAAATCACTATCAGTTGACATGAGTATGATCAGCAGGCTTATGCTTTCCACCAGCAAACTGATGGATGGGGCATCAACACCAACATAAAGCTCTCCCTCTATGCTGCATGTGTTTTCTCCTCATCTCTGGAGAGTGCCAAGCTCTGGGCCATGTCTAAGGGCGCACAGCCTCACAGAGCTCTCTGGAAGAGCAAAAGCTTGGGTCTGCTGTTGGAAGGCAGAAGGTTAAGCTCTTGTCAGCATTTTCCTGGTTTTCCTCCCCCCTTCCCCAGTGCTCCACCTAGAGGCAGCTTTTTTCCCTTTTTGCATCTCTTCCAAGAATATGCAAAGTGATTTAGTTTGCAAAAATGCAAATACTGTCAGTTTTTAATATAAACAGCTGCAGAAAAGTGTTGCAAGTCAGTTATAAAAATGTTAAAAAAGGAACAGAATATTTAACAATTAACTCAAGTAGTTCTTCCTGAATTGTCCTGAGTACTCCACTTCCTCACAGTTCTTTGTACATAGTCACACACAACCCATTGTTTACCCTTCCAAGGTATCCTATTTACATCAGCACAGAGAAAGTGCTGTACAGGAAATCTACTGGCAAAAGAAAACTTTTCTGTATCTTGTTAGATATGAGCTGGATGCTTCAAGCTCCACTGTAGGGA